AATGCCAAATGTGACTGGCAAACAGCTGGTCCATGAATCACATTAACAGTCAATAAATTTTTATTTTCTGTTCAGGGCTTTGGATAGTTTACACTACCTGGAATCTAATAATGATTTCTGGGGTGTATGCTTATCTTGGTTTTTGTCCATTCCTGACCCACTTTGGATGTGGGCCCCATTAAATGGAAATTAAATAATATGAAGCTACAGATAATTTAACAGAATGAAAATTTAGCAACATGCTGTGAGCTTCAGTTCGACTATACGCGAAAGACAGACTAGGTAAACAACCAGGCCGGATTCTGCTATCCACTATGAGATTTAAATTATGTACAGAGAACAGAATTTGCCCCCCAGATTCAGACTAAACAAGAATAATTCACAAGGAGCTGCCAATACACAAATGAGTGCAAAATATGGTCTCTAATGTATTAAAACTCTATAATTTAGTGATTCTCAACCAGGATTCCCTAGTATCCTGAGGTGCCTTGGGATCCTTCCAAAGATGCCATAGGGGTGCCATACAATGTTAGAGCACTGATAGGTGTGTAAATCTGATTGGCAAGACAACCCCAGAGTTTTCACATAGATATCCATAGTGTTGAAAACAGACCGCACCAGGTCAGAATTTCTCAGTTCTTTGCGACAGAAAAATTGCTGTATTATTTTTCTGTAGCCAAAAGAGAATGAAAATTAAGAGCTGCTACTTTCTGAGGGGCGCCTTGAGTCTATAAAGGTTGAGAACCACGGCTCCGTCTAATTTAATTATAAGGACTGGCTTCTACAGTCCTGACTCATCGAAGTGTATCTTTGACACCAGTGGTAATTTGCCTACATAGTACTACAGGATCAGGGTCTAGTCTTATTATATTAAGAATTGGACATGGAAACTCCAGTGAAGCTCTATATGACTGAGCACAATGATGTCCCAAGCAGATAGGAAAGGATAGTCTTGGGTTTGATGGAGAAACAAAGCAGAAGAAAGGAAATGGTGGGCACGTCTACACGTGCACTTTAATGTTCAGTAGCCGATTTTACTGCACATTAAAGAATCACGTAAAAAACCACGCTAATATGCCAATGAGCAGTAAAAATAGGCTACTGCACATTAAGCGTCACTAAAAAAGCACGTGCTTTCACTACTGCACATTAGAGCAGCTTAATTTGCATTCATTTAGTACCTCACATAAGAGGTACTACATTTAATGCGCATTAGCAAAAGTGCATTAATGAACATGTAGACACACCCAGTATCCTCATTTACAGGCAGGGAGCCAAGGCACAGGAAGATTAAATAATTTTCTGAATGCAGCACTGCTGCAAAAGATGATTAATAATTATACCAGGTGAACTGCATTGAAGAAATAAGTACACTCCTACTCTGAAGAACAGATGATAGTTTACAACAACACAACACAGATCAGGATTTACAAGAGAAGACTGAATATACAGATTGGTATATGAGCACAACAGTATTTCATAGAATAGGGGATTTTCAGACACACTGGGCGTGTCTATACGTGCTTTTACACATGCCTAAACTTAATGCACATTTGCTTAATATACATTAAGGCAATTTAGGCGTGCATCTACATGTTCATGCAGTAAGGTGCATTAACACAGTGTGCAGACCAACTCGGGATTAAGTCAACATACGTAGCGTTAATGCGCCTTAGCGTGTCTACACATGCATCAAGGCACCTTAGCTATTCATGCCTAAATATGATACCTGCTTTTACAAGTATCAAATTTAGGCATGATTAGCCTAAAATTGCCAGTTTTAAAGTGCATTAAGTGCACTCAAATGTAGACCTGTGTCCTTAATGCGCCTTAAAAATGGCTAATGCACCTTAAATGGGCATGTATAGACACACCCATTTTGTAGTGGCTGTTGGAAGAAAGCAGACACTTGGGATAAAGGACAGAATTCTGTTTCATTGCTAAGATGTGTATGTGCCAATTATGAATTTTGTAGGTATCCAGGTCACCCAACACCGTTCCACTTTCTCTTGTGCAACAGCCCAAATTGTCCTCACAGTCCTAGATTCCTTACCCAGCAATATTTTTGCCCTACATGCTTGATTGTTCCCATTGCACATCTTGGAAGTGATTTAATAATCAAAGTGTAACTTCATTTATGCTCTGTTGCAATTCATCTTTGCCATGGACACATAGCAACCGTGTGTAAAACCTTAAATGTCAGACTGCTAAAAATCACATGTAGCAATTGGGGTGTCCATCTTTTGCCCATTATCCTAGTGTCACTTCTGTATGACATGAGAAACTCAGGTTCTGGGCCTTTCCCCAGCCTCAGAAGGCTTTGAGCTTTGTTCTCCTACATCGCGGAAACAGTGCCCTAGTCACCCAGTCACAGGCAAGATAGGGCTAAGCACGTCTTCCTTTATGATCGATCTGTCTTTTACTTGTGAGGCTAGACCTCCCGGACAAGTAGCAGATGTACAGATGAGGAATGCTGTGGGTCAGGGAGGAAGGCACTGCTCTGGCCTGGGTTTTGGACCCTGTTTCCAAGGCTGTTTATATAGTTTTACCCAATGGCTCATTAATGCCAAATGTATCACGTACACCAGGGTGGCCAATGTGTTAAATGGCACGAGCAGCGTTCATGCACGTGTGCATATATGTGTGGCAGATTGGGGTAGAGACAAGGAGAACAGCGGCAGATAGGGCAGGGAGCAGAAAGCAGAGCAGGCAGGGGACAGGGATCAGCGTGGCACTCGGGAAGCCAGCAGGACTTAGCTTGACCGGTTGGCCCATGCTGACCTACACTGATGGGTATCTGTAGGCATGTCACTGTAAATCATGGTTCTACGCTGGATGCCAGTCTTGTTACCTGGGACAGGTAATGCAGTGCAGTCAGAGGGGACAGGCAGTGCACGAGCTAAGTGGAAACAACTAGATTACTACTCATTAGTTTGTCCACTGCACCCTTCTTTGTAAGCTGGGGATGTGGGCAGAGGTGGCACAGAAGTAATGTAGCTTCAGAAGAGATTTGACAGAAGAGGCAGCAAGTCGTAAGGGAAGGGAGACTCATGACAGACAGATGGAGACTGCTGAACATTGTACATGCATGGATTTTCTTTTTCTGAAGGAAAGCCAGAGCCTTGAGGGTGAGGGCTTATATCGCTCCACCAGGCTTTCACTTCTCTCTCCAAATACAGGCGCACACATCTTCCTGCTAGGGACTCTGGGTCATATCTCCAAAGAGGCCTTTCTTGCATAAAGTCGTATAGCTAACCATTGGGTCACCTTTAGCTGGAGGAGGTGGAAGGTGCTGTCAGCCATGTCTGCCCCCAAGCTTTCCTCTGGGTTCCCATAAATGTTCCTTATGCAGTGCCAGGTGCTAAGGGTACCTGCCATACCTTTGCCAGGCTCCGTAAGGATCAATGTACATTATGAAGTCAATGAGAGTCCTACCTAGAGAAAAATGAGAACCAGACTCCAGCCTAACGCAGAGGTGTGCTGGGAGCAGTGGGGGAGAGACAGTAGACGAGCATCAGCAGGGGAATGGCAGCTCCACAAGCATCCTGGCCATGTGAGGACTAAGGACAGTATGCTCCGTACCACTCCTTTGGAAAGAAACACCATGTATACTTGGGTCTCTCTTTATGTGAGGGTTGCATTCCAAAGAAACCTTGCATAAAGTGAATTTGCATAAAGCGACTCCATTATTACATGTAATTAATAGGGGTACTTACCAGCCTCACTCAGGCCATTCCCTGATACCCTGCTTCCCTTCACCGGGTGCCTCGCCAGCCCAGCAGGCACGACCCGGCATGGCTGGGAACAGCGGGGCTGCGCGGAGAGGCTACGAGCTCCGTGCTGCAAGCAGCGGCACATGCAGTGGGCATGTCACCAGGGCAGCATGGGGCAAGCACCTTCTCGACACATCCCCACTGTTCCCAGCTGTGCCGGGTCACACTCACCGGGCTGACGAGGCACCCGGGGAACAGAAGTGTGTATGGCAGTGGGGAATCAGCCCACCCCCGTCCCTCAACAAGCCACCTGAGGCTCTGTCCTGCTCCCCGCTGGACGCTGCGGCCCCGCAGTCTGCCCACTGCAGCCCCAGCCCTGCCCAGCTCCCTCCCTACAGGGGTATCAGTCCTCCTATTCCCCCCCACTTACATGCCGGAGCTACTCTCAAGGCTGCTTGGGGCCATGTGCATGTAGTGTACATGCCCATGGCACCCCCTGTCTCACCACCTTCCTTCCGCTCCCTCCCATCCCTGCAGGGAGCTCATTGCCGGCGGACAAATGAGGTCCGGGATTTTTCCTCGCACAAAGCGAATTTATGGTATCAACGGGGTCCTTGGATATAAGCAAATTCACACAAAATGAATTCATATAAAGAGAGACCTGAGTGTATTCTTGGGGGCGTGATGCATCAGGGCCTTAAGAGCACAGGGGAAAAAGGGGAATGTGTTGGTATCCATCTATCACCTCTGCAATGGAAAGTGTATAATACAGGAGTCCTGAACCACTCCCTGACTAGGATACTGGCCCAGTCATCATTCTGACATTTCTCCAGAGAGCTATCCTGCTGTGCTCAGGTGGGGACCAAAGCCATCTCATTGAAAATAAGATTTGACTCACACTAGGGTACCCTTACAGAGCAGTGAACAGGATACTTTGTACACAGACAAACTGTAAGGTTGGTTAATGCAAGAGGGAAGGAGTCTTGTGGGCGTTATCTTTTATTGGACCAACTGCTTGGATAGGATAGATGTAGGCAAGCTTTTGGGTACCACAGTACCCCTTCCTCAGGCCTCAAGAAGGGTGCTGTGATAACTGAAAGCTTGCCTGTGTCTATCCCAACCATGCAGTTGGGTCAGTAAAAGATCGTATCACCCATAAGAATTCATCTCACATATTTCCCAGACCATCATGGTAACAATAGCACCTCAACACTACCAAGGTTAGTTGATGTATTTCCTAAGTAAGACTTTCAGGTTGAATTTTTGATTCATGTGATGCTTTATTATGTAGCCCTAGGGCTCAGAGTTCGACTTGATCGTACTGCACTGTAGCGCTCATTTATGCTCCTACCCTTTTCAGGCTACGATGCCATTTCTGAAGCGCAATGCGTGTCTGAAGAAGGAGTCAACAGCGGGCCAGAAGAAAACGGATTTTTCCCAAACGGTGCCTTTGATCATTGTTTGAATCATATTCCTTCCATCTATACAGATACTTAAGAGCAGATGTATTCTGACTTTCCTGTATTCTACCTATGCCTGTATATGTATTAACAAAATGTTGTTCAAGTACTTTTATTTAGTCTGTATCCTTATATGCGCTCATTTAAACAAACACCTCACATTTACCAACCCATTTTATACATGAATATACTGTATGAGGTAATTATTGGAACCTGTTCCCTTGCTGTGGCACTTTGAAAGTCATGCTTTACGAGAATGAGGAGCATTTGAGACAGCTTGTTTTGTAAGTTCTCCTAGTAAAATGTAAATGTAAGTTATATAATAAACTTGTAAAGATTTTTTTTTTTTCCCTGAAAAGTATGTTTTCCATTTGAGAATGTTGGTCCCTTTAAATCAGTTTTCGGGAAAATCATTGGACATTTTTTGACCACAAGGACTTTTTTTTTTTTTGTAATTGCAGACCTCATGTATATAAACGTCTTCATTTGCTCAGCTGGTTTTATATTTTCAGTTTTACAAGAAAGCATTAAAAAAACTGGAACCAAGCATCCTGTCGTTTCTTACCTTCCTGAGGCCACGTGCTCGATGCTCATACTTTATTCCACAACGCCCGTCAGCGATTGAAACCTAACAATGGTGCTGAAATAGTTGCAAAGTGCAAGCAGCCAAGGTGGATGCTGGAAATACTGAGCAGCTGGCAAGGGGCAGATATGCAGATACAGGGTCAAAGCGTGGCTCTGTACAATGATGAATCACAGACAGTGCAAGCAGTGTACGTACAGCAGGACGGGCTGCAAAACACACCTAAAGACAGGGCCGCTTGCCTATGCTACACTCAGCACAAAGAGCTTGCAACTTGGCTTTGCCACCTTTCCGTGACTTGCTGATCACAACACAACAGGCTCACAGTCATAAACTTCTAATTTATCGTGTGACGGGGGGGAGGGAAGATAGTAGATCATTAGAGTATTTGCTGTGAAAACATACTCGATTCTTCCGTATGTCCTAATGTTTTATGCAAGCTTGTCTTCAACAGGACACCTTGCTGTAAGATATGGGACATTTCACACACATGCATAGGGGAGAAAAAGGTAAGATTGAAAAAAATAAGTATTGCATTACCAATAATAATGTGTCCATGGATAAAAAATAGATGCTGGGCTTAGCTGGTCTTTAGAGAGTTCAGCAAACATGTGTAACCACAGATACAAGCAATTTCTAAGGAAGCTCTGCGAGGGCGATAGCTAACCTCAGATAAGGCAGGTCAGGAGCATTTTGGCAAGTGCTTCTTTCCTCTAAAAATAATTCCTACAGCTTATGATAGCGCGGAAAACCATGTCCTCTCTCAGGGCCTCAGGTTGAGCACTAAAGCTCAAGGCACCCGAAATCACTACTCACTTTTTAATGCCTTGGCATTATGAAGGAACCCAGGTACTCTCTATGGGCACGGGGATGGGATGCCATCACTCAGTCCACACCATGTGCACAGCCAGGGAGGGCATGTGATGCTTGCACCACCCATCTCTTCCCTAGAGGCTCTGCAAAGATTTCACTCGCAGCCAGAGCACCATATGCAACTGTCTGCAGCCTACTACAGGGTACTCAGGCTCTGCCTCCTATAAACCACTGCCTCCAAGATGGCCATGATCTTCAGTAACTGTGAGGAAAGAAAGCAGCAACTCAAGGAATGAAGTGCTTGTAATGTCCTTAAAGCTGGACACTGATTGCTAGGGGCCTACCACGTTGAAGCAAGCAGCCTGTGAATGCTGTGGCAAGCACCTCCCTCCCACGGCCATCTCAGCGGTCAAGTCTTCTGGTGGCATGACACCAAGTTATCCCTACTCTTGGCATTGTCTTTGTAGGCCATGCAGGGTACACAATTAAACACTGGTGAACCCCCTTTTGTGGGTTTGGCTAGGACAGGACTGGCCAATTGGCAGCCCACAGACCACATGAAGCCCCCAAAGGGTTAGCGCATGTGGCCCATGGCCTCTCACCCAGCTGCCACTTCATTTCACTGGGTAGCCCACGTGGCATTTGCAGCTGGGAGGGAGGGGAGCTGGGCTGCCTGTGCTGTGCAGGGATGGATGAGGTGCACTGGGCAGCCTACATCACAGAGGGAAGCTGGAGGGATAGTGGCCCTTGGGTCTATGGCCCCCAGCTGCCCAAAAGTTGGATGGCCCTGAGCTAGGACACATCTTGCCTCAAGCTCCATCTTCCAAGCAATGGCCACAAAAGGCCTGGGGAGAATAGAAGAGGGTCTGAGCACTCATTACCAAATGCCACCTAGTTGTTGAGATGTCAGTCTTTAGTAGGGTGGCCCTCATAGAAGACATTCCTCTATTCTTCCTGTTTTCTGCTACTCTGTCCTCTATTAATACAAAACCTGATGCCTTTATGTCTGCCTGGATGACATAAAGGCATCCAGTTTCATAGATTTCATAGACATTAGGGCTGGAAGGGACCTTGGAGGATCATCAGGTCCAGCCCCCTGCCCCAGGGGCAGGAAGTCAGCTGGGGTCAAAAGATCCCAGCAAGATAAGTGTCCAAATGCTTCTTAAAGGAGTCCAGGGGAGGTGCTTGCACCACCTCTGGAGCGAGTTTCATATCTCTAGAGGACAGAGGACAACCGGCCTATCCTCTACGATGGCCACCCTAGTCATTAGTGACTCGTTCCACTATGAAAGGAACATTTTTTTCCCCATCACAGCAAAACCAGTACCAGAACTGTAGGCAAAGAGGAACTCTATTGCCATTCCCATGATGCAACAGCATCTAGTTCATAATCTCTTTCTGCAAGTTAAACAAAAATAAAATTGCTTTAAAAATGACAGAGAGTTGGATTAGAGAGATAATTCACCTAAACATAAGCACATTTTCTCAATTACAATAAATATTTGTGTCCCAACAATCAGCCTATGGGAAACCACACAATGATTCACAAAGGTCTGGGGCAGTAAAAGCTGAGCAGCTGGAGCGATGACTTAATTCTAGCATCTCTATGATTCAGGTTTCCTGTAAATTAAAAGGAAAGCTTCAAAGAAATGAAAAAGTTCCTGATTTGTGATGCAAGGTTCTGGAAGATTTGCCACACTAAAATCATTAAAGCGCACAATAAGCCAAGATAATGAATACTTGTTCACTTGTGTACTTGATTAT